TCTATTTGTTTCCGAATAAAAACATCTGTATCCTAAATGGAAACAAATAGATACAATGTTTCAACCGCTGTAAATGTGAAGGAACTGTCAGAGAACTGTCAGAAATAGCGGAGCTCTCTGCAGGGACACTTTTTGCCGGCTGTAGAAGGGATGAAAATTGGCCGATCGGGGAAAATTCGATTCGTGCATCCGAAGTTTGCTAATTTTCGGATTCGGCGCGAATCGAATTTTTCCTAATATTCGAAACGAATTCCACTTCGCCAAGTTTGATTCGCTCATCTCTACTTGTATTATCTGGCACTGCTACAATGATATAGCTAAGATCTTCTGGGTCCTGTGTTGTGTGGTTTCCTCTCTGTATACTGACCACAGGGGGTTGCTGACTCAGCACTGCCACCATTCATAGAATGTCTTGTATTTTTTTCAATGAATACAAGACATTCTCTGAGTGTGATTTCACCTTCCCTCCTCTCCACCTCGTCTAATCAGAGAGCACCTCATGTTCATTTAAAAAAAAGTATTTCTGTGAATGGTGTGGGTACAGAGTGAGCGGCCCCCTGTATTCCATGTGCACTGGGGCAGCTGTTTGCACAGGACTCAGATGACTGCAGCTGTAACTGTAGTAGCGCTGACTACTACAGCGATTGTCAGCTTCCAAAGGGGTCCCACAGGTATGAGAGATGCCAAGTTGGACTAATATAACTATGGATTACAGAAAATTCTTGGAGTTTAGCTTTAAAGCTGTAGTAAACAGCAAAAAATCCCCAGCAAGGTAATGTCACAATGTGCTAGTATGCATCACACACTAACACATTATGAAGGACTTTCCTTAAAACGAAGACCTCCAGCGGTGCACTGTCACCGCTACAGAGGCTTCCATCTTCACCCGGCGCACTGTCACTGCTACAGAGGCTTCCATCTTCACCCGGCGCACTGTCACTGCTACAGAGGCTTCCATCTTCACCTAGCGCACTGTACAGAGGCTTCCACCGCTACAGAGGCTTCCACCTTCACCCGGCGCACTGTCACTGCTACAGAGGCTTCCATCTTCACCCGGCGCACTGCCACTGCTACAGAGGCTTCCATCTTCACCCGGCGCACTGTCACCGCTACAGAGGCTTCCGTCTTCACCCGGCGCACTGTCACTGCTACAGAGGCTTCCGTCTTCACCCGGTGCACTGTCACTGCTACAGAGGCTTCCATCTTCACCCGACGCACTGTCACCGCTACAGAGGCTTCCATCTTCACCCGACGCACTGTCACGCTACAGAGGCTTCCGTCTTCACCCGGCGCACTGTCACCGCTACAGAGGCTTCCATCTTCACCCGGCGCACTGTCACTGCTACAGAGGCTTCCGTCTTCACCCGTGCACTGTCACTGCTGCAGAGGCTTCCCACCTTCACCCGGTGCACTGTCACTGCTGCAGAGGCTTCCGTCTTCACCCGGTGCACTGTCACTGCTGCAGAGGCTTCCACCTTCACCCGACGCACTGTCACCGCTACAGAGGCTTCCATCTTCACCCGGCGCACTATCACTGCTACAGAGGCTTCCGTCTTCACCCGGTGCACTGTCACTGCTGCAGAGGCTTCCGTCTTCACCCGGTGCACTGTCACTGCTGCAGAGGCTTCCACCTTCACCCGGCGCACTGTCACTGCTACAGAGGCTTCCATCTTCATCTGGCGCACTGTCACTGCTACAGAGGCTTCCATCCTCATCTGGCGCACTGTCACTGCTGCAGAGGCTTCCACCTTCACCCGGCGCACTGTCACTGCTACAGAGCCTTCCATCCTCATTATTTATTTATTATTTATTTATCGAGTTTATATAGTGCCAAAGGGTTTGCTCAGCGCTGTACAGTAGAGGGGGGGACAGTACATGAAACAGTACAGTAACATCAAACAGCACACAAGGGGTAAGAGGGCCCTACTCTTTCGAGCTTACAATCTAGGAGGGAGGCGGTAGAGGTACAGGAGGAAATGGCTGTGGGGGATGGAGTGGTAGGAGGAGGGAAGGGCAGCGGCTGTTAGGTGAGGGTGGGGTAGGCTTCCCTGAAGAGGTGGGTTTTCAGGGAGCGCCTGAAGGTGAGGAGGGAAGGTGACAGTCTGATGGATTGGGGTAGTGAGTTCCAGAGGATGGGGGAGGACCTGGAGAAGTCTTGCAGTCGTGCGTGGGCAGGAGGAGACCAGGGAGCAAGATAGAAGGAGGTCCTCTGAAGAGCGAAGGGTACGGGTAGGGTGGTACCTGGGAATCAGGTCGGTGAGGTAGTTAGGGGCAGTGTTGTGAATGGCCTTATAGGTCAGAGTGAGCAGTTTGAATTTAATGCGTTGGGCAATGGGGAGCCAGTGGAGGGAGAGGCAGAGGGGGGTGGCAGAGGTGGAGCGGCTGGTGAGGTGGATAAGTCTGGCAGCTGAGTTCAGGATGGTCTGAAGCGGGGAGAGTTTGCACTGGGGTAGGCCGTGAGGAGGGAGTTGCAGTAGTCAAGGCGTGAGATAATCAGGGAGTGTACGAGTAGTTTAGTGGTGTCTGGGGTAAGGAAGGTGCGTATCTTGGAGATGTTGCGGAGGCAGCACTGTCAGCGCTGCAGAGGCTTCCACCTCACCCGGCGCACTGTCACCGCTGCAGAGGCACTTCACCCGGCGCACTGTCACCGCTGCAGAGGCTTCCATCTTCACCCGGTGCACTGTCACCGCTACAGAGCCTTCCATCCTCATCTGGCGCACTGTCACCGCTGCAGAGGCTTCCACCTTCACCCAGCGCACTGTCACCACTGCAGAGGCTTCCATCTTCACCCGGCGCACTGTCACTGCTGCAGAGGCTTCCATCTTCACCCGGTGCACTGTCACTGCTGCAGAGGCTTCCATCTTCACCCGGCGCACTGTCACTGCTGCAGAGGCTTCCATCTTCACCCGGTCTTATTTTGGGTTCACAAGATCTTGTCATCTGACTTGCTGAGCCACGATGACATCACTCCTGCACGTGCATGCGGGAGTCCTGGACCATGACAGTGCTCTGAAGAAATGGCATGGATATATCGTTCCTTCAGAGTGCATGCGCTGGCTCTCAAAAAGAGCAAATATCTCCTAAACGGTGCACATTTACAAGATATTTGCACTTTCATTAATTTTATCTACAGGTAAGCTTTATTATAAGCATACCTGTAGGTAAAAGTATACAAAAAGAGTCTGCTACCACTTTAAAGTGATTCTAAACTTTAAATATTTTTTACCTTAATCACCTCTGGAGGTTTTACCCCCATCCTGACCAGGTTATTTTTTTGCTCCTCAGCACTGCGCTACTTTATGCTATAGAGAGTCCACAAACTATGATATATACAGTATATATATTTAAAAATGTATCAATCCTGATGTACTGAGGGCCTCTCATTTCTTGAGGCCCTAAAATGCCAGGACAGTACAAATACCTCCCAAATGATCCCTGTTTGGAAAGTAGACAGTCCAAGGTATTTAGTAAGAGACATGGCGAGTTTTTTGAAGTTGTAATTATTGTAAACTGTAAGTTATTTTATTCAATTTCTTAAACGTTATTCTTTTTTTTTCTTTAAATTTGTTTTCATCATAGTGACACTGTACTACTCGGAAGGGGGGGGGGGAATCAGGGATTCTTTTTTTTTTTTAACACTGTGATTGCTTGTTACAGTGGTGATCACTGTAGCAGCAATCATTTAAACTGTCATAGCTTTCATTCCTGACTCATTGTTTACTCTTGTAATGCTGTGATTGGCCCACAACTATCACATGGTACTGTTGAGTTGGTTCTGGCCAGCTCATTGGATTGCTTTAAAAAAGGCCTGGATTATTTCTTAGATATACAGAATATAACTGGATACTGACATTTTTAGGTAAAGTTGATCCAGGGAATATCCGATTGCCTCTCGGGGGATCAAGAAGGAATTTTTTTTCCCTGCAGGAGCAAATTGGATCATGATTTGCTGGGTTTTTTTTGCCTTCCTCTGGATCAACTGTGGGTATAGGATTATAACTTTCTTTTAATGGTTGAACTGGATGGAATTTTGTCTTTTTCCAGCCAGACTAACTATGTAACTATGTACTGTGATTGGCCTGGGTACTATGTGATCGCTGGTGACCAATCACAGATCACACACACAGTAGTACACAATAATGTTATAGGTATCTTGGCCGATCACAGCGGGCCAATACTGAGAAATGCAATTGCAAATCACACTACTTCACCCCCTAAGGGATGTATGCAACGTACATGAGCAGGGTGATGCATTGGTAAGTCTCGGGTTCCTGCTAAAGCCGCCGACCGGCAGTAAAATTACTGTTGGCCGGGTGGCAAGTGGTTATTAATGCATTCCCTGAATTAAAGTAAAAAATGCCACAATAACTGGCCCCCCCCAACCCTAAACAACCCGACACCTCTCACTTTTCCTGTGATATCCTGCCTCCAGTCCTGCTCTCCTCTCTTCCTGGTTCCACAGGAGACATTGAGAGTAGCTGTAGCCATAGGCTCCTTCTGCTGTCAGTCAAACTTCTGTGCGGAGGGAGTGGGGAGAGGTGGGATGGATTGCTGGTGCTGTGTGTGTCTATGGATGCACACAGCCCAGCTTAAGGGTGCACCAGGCTCGAAGGAGCAGACAGCGCCGATGGAAGACCACCAAGAAGGTGGTAAGCAACCACTCTGTGCAATATCATTGCACACATCAGGTAAGTATAACCTCTTTTTTATTTTAAGACAAGAAAATAGCCTTTAATATCACTTTAATTCATTGGTGCATAGCAATTGTGTAAAATATTTTTTTCCCCGGAGTTCAGCTTTAAACATTCTTGGGACAAACGATGAAAAAAACAAGACGAAAGGGGCAGACTTGATGAATCACTTGGTGTGCCTCTGCTGTCCCTTTTCCTGTGTGTCTGTCATTCATTGGGATTTATATCTCTACGTCAGCCCGCTAATAATACGCCGTGCTGCAGTACACGCAGGCCGCCAGCAGGTGGCAGGGGAGAGGCTGGGAAGATCGATGTGACACCTGCCTGAGTACACAAGACTCACCCTGCTTCCACCTGGCAGCCTGGCCCCGCCCCCTCCCCTGTGCAGAAGAAGAGTCAGAGAGGAAGAGGAGCGATCGAGGGAGAATGGAGGAGAGATCCTGCAATCAGAGGCTGCAACATGTCAGGGGATCCCTCTTCATACTGTTCATGGTGAGGACACACTGACACTCATCTAGTGCTCCTTTCCTGCTGTTATCATAGGATGCCCTGTGTGCTGTCTGCTTACATATGTGTTCTGTGTCTGTATCTATGTCTGTGTCCATCTATAGCTCTGTGTATGGCCATCATGGAGTAGTAGAGATACATCTAATCCATGACTTGTCTGATTTCCTGATTGGTGATCACATTCCTGTGTGTCATAATGTAGATCAGTCACTGTACAGGTTGGAGTCATCACACCCTGTACTCTGACCATAGACAACACAGCACACTTCTCTACCTATACAGTACAGTGTGTATATGATTGCACGCTGACGTCTTATTGACAATACTTTCCTGATTTCCAAACAGGCAGGCGTTGCAGGTTTGCCCTGGAATTGCTTTTTTCTTCTTTTTTTTCCTGGAAATGTTCCTGGTTTTTGTCCTGAATAACTGAACCAGAAAATCCTCCTTTCCTGAACTGGACTTGTGTTAAAGGGGAGTTGTTACATTCATTAGAAGAATACAATGGGCATTAGACAGCTGCGGGCTGACTCACTGGATGGGAAGAAATGCCTCAGAATAAATAATTCCTGGAAGAAATACCTCTACAAATAAATACCTTTGTAGAAATACCTCTGAATAGATAACTCTCGGAATAAGTACCTCTACAAAAAATACATCTGAATTAATAATTCCTGGAATAAATACCTCTCCAAATAAATACCTTTGCAGAAATACCTCTGAATAGATAACTCTCGGAATAAATACCTCTCCAAAAAGTACATCCGAATAAATACTTCTGAATAAATAGCTCTCGGAATAAATACATCTCCAAAAAATGCCTCCGAATAAATAATTCCTGGAATAAATACCTCTCCAAATAAATACCTTTGTAGAAATACCTCTGAATAGATAACTCTCGAAATAAATTCCTCTCCAAAAAATACATCCGAATAAATACTTCTGAATAAATAGCTCTCGGAATAAATATCTCTGAATAAATAACTCTCAGAAAAAAAAACCTTTCCAAAAAATACCTCCTAATAAATACTTCCAAATAAATATTTCCTGGAATAAATACCGCTCAAAAAAAATACATCGGTCACACTGGGTGCAACTCGACATACAATTTGCAGGCCATGCGACTTGCAAATTGTAGGCCATGTCACACCCTATTGTCTGCTATTACAGCTTTCATATCGGTGCAGTACCGACTTGGTTGGAGCTGCATCAATTTCTAAAAGAGTACATGCACTACTTTTGGTGCGATTTTCATAGACATCTGTGTCAGATGTCTTGCAAATCGCACCTGAAATCGGCAGGTCACCTGACTTTGAAATCGTGCAACCTCACTGTAAGTCCCAAGTTTTCAAAGTCGGTCTTGATGAGACCAGGGTGTTGGGTTATTTTCACACTGAGGAGTTTTTAAAGCGTTTTTGCATTAAAAAAAAAAAAGCGCCTGAAAAGCTGAAGAAAAATGCTTCCCTATTTATGTGAATGTATACCTATGTATGTTTTCACACTGAAGCATTGCGCTTGCGGTGCGGTGTAAAAACTCCTGCTTGCAGCATCTTTGGGGCATGTTTGGGGAGTTAAAACAACTGCTGAGCGAACTATTGGCGCTTTATAAATACTGTAGTATAATAATAATAATAATAATAACTGCCCAAAAAACACCTATTCCCATTGAAATCAATGGAAAATGCCAGAAAAAACGCCTCTGAGAAGTGTTTTTGGTGCAGTTTTTTAAGTCACACGTCCTTTAAAATGATCAGAAAGCGCGGCAAAAGCGTAGTAAAAACGCCTATGCGTTTTTGCGGTTGATCAGTGTGAAAGTAGCCTTAATCCTTATCTATGTTCCAGTTTAAGCTGGTGCTATTGCCGCTGCCCCAGGTTTCCTGTTTCAAGGTGGCTCCTTTCTCTTACAACATTCTATGGAGCCACCCTTGGATGCAGGGACTAGAGTGGTGTCACCCTACACCAGGGGTCTCCAGACCTTTCAAACAAAGGGCCATATAACTATCCTTCAGGCTTTAGAGGGCCCAAACCGTGGCCAGTGGGAATAGAAAATGCCCCAATGTCAGTGAGAGTAAACAATGGGGTTTATTTACTAAAGCTGGAGAGTGCAAAATCAGGCTCAATTCTGCATAGAAACCAATCAGCTTGTTTAATTATGCTTTGCCAATAAACTTGGAAGCTAATTGGTTTCTATGTAGAAGTGAGCCTGATTTTGCACTCTCCAGCTTTAGTAAATAAACTCCATTGCGTTGTTGGCCTATCATTGGTTTTAGAGGGAAGAATAGTGCCCCGAAGACCTGATAAAGGCAGGTAAAGACCACACCCGGCCCCCAGTTCGCAGTTTGGAGACCACTGCCCTCCATTGTGTGCATCAATAGAAACACACAGCCCTGTAGACTAGAATAGCAGGGCACTCCAATCTGCGCTGTCAACTGTTAGCTCTTTCCTTTGAAGACCAGAAGTTTAGGGAAGCCACACTGAGAAAGCAGGAGCCAGCAGCATTGAAAGTTGTAAACTGCAGGTGCTGGAAGTTTACTGGAGAATGTTTATTTTATTGTGCTCAGAGTGTTACATTGAGAGTTTAACTTTATCGTTTACCCCCGAGTTTACTAAATGGAAAACCTTTTTGTTTTGTAAATTTCACTTTTCCCTTTCTTCCCCTCCATTCTCCATTTCTTGCCTAGGTAAGAAGAACATAGCTGCAATGTCCACAGGCCCCTGAGATATGAACATCATATATCTCTGAAGTCTTCAGGCAGTTCTGATTTCTGCTGACATTGGCCACATGTAAACAGTGATTCCACAGCTAGGGCACTGGGTGTACATGCACTGCAAACCCCACATGTGTGCGCTGAGCACTCGCCAGGGGATTCCGCACATTTGCGTGCGGCCAACGCGAAGAGGTTAAAGCTTTCAGCTTAATGCTTCTTGCTTTATTTTGTTGAGAAATCAGTTTTAAAAACACCCCCCAGAGCATTTCTAGCTGCATCTATCTTAAATAAGGCAGATGGTTCATGTAGCATTTACAGGTACTTCCTGGAATCCATCTGCCCTTAGCACAGGCATGTATGTAGGGTGTGGTTAGCTGAGAAAACCCCTCCTTTCCCTCCTCCAGATAAAAGAAAATGTTATTTAAAGTGGAAGTCAACTCTATTTTGCAACTTTTAGCTACAGGTAAGTCTTTAACCACTTGCCTACAGGGCACTTATACCCCCTTCCTGCCCAGGCCAGATTTCAGCTTTCAGAGCTGTCGCACCTTGAATGATAATTGCACGGTTATGCAACACTGTACCCATATGAAATTTTTATAATTTTGTTTCACACAAATAGAGCTTTATTTGGTGGTATTTACGTGCCGCTGGGTGTTTTATTTTTTGCGCTATAAACAAAAAAAGAGCAAACATTTTGGCAAAAAAAAGGTTTTCTTTGTTTCTATTATAAATTTTGCAAACAGGTAATTCTTCTCCATCACTGATGTGAGTTGATGAGGCTGCACTGATAGGCAGCACTGATGGGCACTGATAGGCAGCACTGATGAGGAGGCACTGATAGGCGGCACTGATGGGCAGCACTTGTGGATGGCATTGCTGAACACTGATGAGTGGCACTGATGGGCAGCAATGATGGGCGGCACTGATGGGCAGCACTAATAGGCAGCACTGATGGGCACAGGTGGGTGGCACTGCAGGGCACACGTGGGTGGCACCGATGGGCACAGGTGGGTGGCACTGCAGGGCACAGCTGGGATAGCACTGATGGGCACAGGTGGGTGGCACTTCAGGACACAGGTGGGTGGCACTGCTGGGCACAGCTGGGTGGCACTGCTGGGCACATGTGGGTGGCACTGATGGGCACAGGTGGGTGGCACTGATGGGCACAGGTGGGTGGCACTGCATGGGCACAAGTGAGTGGCACTGCAGGGCACAGGTGGGTGGCACTGCAGGGCACAGGTGGGTGGCACTGAACATAAGGGCACTGATCATCAGTGCCCTGATGATCAGTGTCGATCCCTTTGCTGACAATTGCCGGTTCTCTGTGGTACTCACAGCGTGAGGAAAGTGCAACCAATAACTGGCAACTGTATTTACCCGGTGATCTGCTGTGTCATTGGACACAGCTGATCACGTGTTAAAAGGCCTCCATGATTGGCCGTTTACTGTATCACGTTATCAGCTGTGTCTGTAGGACAGCGATCACCGGCGCCGCCGGGTGCGCCGCTGGGGACGCGCAGGGGGGCGTGTTCTGGAATGACTTCCATGTAAGTCGTCCCAGGATTACACAACCACGCTGTAGCCGTCCTTCAGCTATAGCGCAGTTGGGAACTAGTTAATAAGACTTACCTGTAGGTACTGTGAATACCTCCTAAATTTGCAACGTTCAGGAGATATTTTCTGTACAAGTGCACCGAGCTCTCAATGGATGGCGTGCCATCCATTGAGAGAGCCGTGCTGTGGCCAAAACTCCGTTCGCATATATGCAGGAGTGATGACTTGGCTCGGCCAATCAGATGGGTGCAGCTTGTGAACCCCGAATGAAGACTGGGTGAAGACGGAGGCCTCAGGGAGCCGTGACAGCTCTCCGATGGAGGGCTTCATTTTCAGACAAGTCTTTTTTTATAATGTACACGTATGCAATGCACACTAGCACATTATGCTCTGAACTTGCAAGAAGAAGATTGTTTTGAATTTTTTTTTTTTTTGTGGTTTACCACTGTGTTAACAAAATGGAAAGTAAATTAACAAAAATAAATCCAAATCAAATGTATATTTGGTGTGACCACCCTTTGAATTCAAAACTGCATCAGTTCTTCTAGGTTTACTTGCACACAGTTTTTGAAGGAACTCGGCAGGTAGGTTGTTTCATGCATCTTGGAGGCCTAACCACAGTTCTGTGGATGTAGGCTGCCTCTGATCCTTCTGCCTCTACATGTAATCCCAGACAGACTCAATGATGATGAGATCTGAGCTCTGTGGGGGCAAAATCATCACTTC